TTTCTGGTGCTCTCATGCATGTATGTATTTGTATGTACATAATTTAAATTTATTTTTCCCTGGTTAATCTTTTATCAGTTTGATTCATGGGCCTAGGCAATGAACCTAGGAGGGTAGAGAAAAAGGTTGACTTTTCTCCCTAGGGAACTGAAAAGACCTCCTGTGTTTCAAAGTTACCAAAGGGCTGAACCAGACTTCCGTCCTCAGACTATAGCTTCCTCCACAGGACTGTACTGTCCATCATAATGGTTTTGTAGACTTCCTAAAAAATTGACTTAAAGTAGGTCAGCATGCCTGAGCCATTTTGAGATGATTTATTGAAGTTGGAGATGTTGGTTCATGTTTTTCAACACAAAGAACAAGATTTTAAATTGCTGGTGTTTAAAAGCTGAGGTGCTTTTGTTATTCCTTTATTAAAAAATGATGAGCGAATATAACTCAGAAAGAACTAAGTCTTAGTGCAGATCTCTGTATAGAGTAGGTGTTTAATACCTTTGGAAGTTATTACATTTTGAATGTCATAACAAAAATGACTGGGCAGCAAGGTGACACACTGAAGATGGGAGATTTAATAGAAGTTTCATCTCAAGCCCAAGGACAGAAGTTCTACCATGCCCAAGTTCATTTAGTGAGCATTAATGATTTAAAAATTTTTAAGATTTCTTGGTGCAAGTTATCAGCACATACTAAAAGTAAAAATGTGCCTTATTTAATGACAATTGGACAGTATCTGTAGATTTCAGGATTTCTACTTTCATTAATGTTTTTAGTCTTTGTTTACATTTCACTAAACAACAAGAAGGAATCAATTTAAGGCAGAGAGCCAGAAATACAGATAGGTTAGATGATATCTTGATTTTATTTGAGCTGAGTATATTTTGCTAAATACATTTTTGTAAGAGCAAAAATAAATGAATTCATTTAAAAGTACTGGTCTACCTAACCATGGGGTCTCACCATACACACCAAGTGTTTCTCTGTGAAAGAGAAAATACAAACAGCTTTTATGAATATGTGTTAATAACATATTGGGTCTATGCTGTGGCAATTTAGGCTATGCAGACATCACCAAACCTCCTTGGAGGAGGCCTAAACTGTCAAGGAAGGCTGTGTGATGTAGCCTCATAATGTGGATTTCCCACATCATATACTCCAGCCTTTCATGGTTCAAATCCTCACTCCCCATAGTAAATTTAAAATTTACATATACACTTTTTTAAAATTAATTTTTTAAAATTTATATGACAGTAGAATACATTATAATTTATATTAAACATATAGAGCTCAGCTTTTCATATCTCTGGTTGTATACAAAGTATATGCACACCAATTTGTGTCTTCATACTTGTGCTTTGGATAAAGATGACCATCACATTCCACCATCATTTCTAACCTCATGCCCCTTCCCTTCCCCTCCCACCTCTCTGCCCTATCTAGAGTTTGTCTATTCCTCCCATGCTCCCCCTCCCTACCCCACTATGAATCAGCCTCCTTATATCAGAGAAAACATTCGGCATCTGGTTTTGGGGGATGGGCTAACTTCACTTAACATTATCTCCTCCAACTCCATTCATTTACCTGCAAATGCCATGATTTTATTCTCTTTTATTGCTGAGTAATATTTCATTGTGTATAAATGCCACATTTTTTTATCCATTCATCTACTGAAGGGCATCTAGGTTGGCTCCACAGTTTAGCTATTGTGAATTGTGTCGCTATAAACATTGATGTGGCTGTGTCCATGTAGTATGCTGTTTTTAAGTCCTTTGGGTATATACAGAGGAGTGGGATAGCTGGGTCAAAAGATGGTTCCATTCCCAGTTTTCCAAGGAATCTCAATACTGCTTTCCATATTGGCTGCACCAATTTGCAGTCCCACCAGCAATGTATGAGTGTGCCTTTCCATCACATCCTCACCAACACTTATTGTTGTTTATATTCACAATAGCTGCCATTCTGACTGGAGTGAAATGAAATCTTAGAGTAGTTTTAATTTGCATTTCTCTAATTGCTAGTGATGATGAACATTTCTTCTTATATTTGTTGATTGATTATATGTCATCTTCTGAGAAGTTCTGTTCACTCCTTGGCCCATTTATTGATTGGGTTGTATTTTTGGTGTTTAGTTTTTTGAGTTCTTTATATACCCTAGAGATTAGTGCTCTCTCTGATGTGAGAGGGGTAAAGATTTGCTACCAAGATGTAGGCTCTCTATTCACCTAACAGATTGTTTCTTTTGCTGAGAAGAAACTTTTTAGTTTGAATCCATCCCATTTATTGATTCTTTATTTTAATTTTGCACCACAGCAGTCTTATTAAGGAAGTTGGGGCCTAATCCAATATGATGGAGATTATGACCTACTTTTTCTTCTATTAGCTGCAGGGTTTCTGGTTATATTCCTAGGTCCTTGATCAAAAGCACTATACAGATTTAATGCAATGCCAATCAAAATCCCAATGGCATTCCTCATAGAAATAGAAAAAGCAATCATGAAATTCATCTGTAATAATAAGAGACCCAGAATAACTAAAACAATCCTTAACAAGAAGAGTAATGCAGGTGGCATCACTATACCAGCCCTCAAACTATACTACAGAGCAATAGTAACAAAAGCAGCATGGTATTGGCACCAAAACAGACTAGTAGACCAATGATACAGAATAGAAGACACAGAGACTAACCCACAAAATTACAATTATCTTATATTAGACAAGGTGCCAAAAAACAGGCATTGGAGAAAAGACAGCCTCTTTAACAAACGGTGCAGGGAAAACTGGAAATCTATATGCAACAAAATGAAATTAAACCTCTATCTCTCACCATGCACAAAACTCAACTCAAAATGGGTCAAGGACCTAGGAATAAAACCAGAGACCCTGCATCTAATAGAAGAAAACAGTAGGCCCGAACCTTCATCATGTGGGATTAGGCCCCAACTTCCTTAATAAGACTCCTATACCACAAGAATTAAAATCAAAAATCAATAAGTGTGATAGATTCATACATACACACTTAAATCAGCAAATAAGGTAATTTCCCTCCCCTTCCTTTGTTTCTTTGTGTCTCTGTCTGTCTCTCTCTCCCTCTTTAACCCTTCCTCTCCACGTCTGCCTCTTTCATAAAGAAGGTGTTTATAACAGTCAGATGCATTCACTCCATATACTGCTTAGGAATGCCTGGTTTGGGGTGAGGCTGCCTCCAGGCACTGGGGTGCAGAGTAATTTGGTTGCTTGTGATGGGCTTCACTTTGAGTGATCTTAATTTCTGCTAATAAAATACATGACATAGGGTACAATTCCTACTCTCCTTCAGCACCTACTATTCTTCCTACTCCTTCAGCACCCAGGGCCTATAGACCTTGGCTCTGGGTCAGCTTCAGGCTAGAGCTCAGCTGGATGTGTCAGACACTCCTTTCCACTCTCAGCTGTCACCCAGCACCGGAACACTAGCCCTCTCCTAATACTGCAGAGCCACAGGCTGTTTATCTCTGGCTTTGCCCTTTCCCAATGCCAAATTGCAGGAGTCACTGTTTGCATTAATTCCTTCTTCTCTCTTCTTGATCACCAAATCTTTTATATATAATCATTGTCAACAACCCATTTTTATCAAAGCAAGGTAAGACTTTGCCTCTTGGGTACCCTTAAGACCCAAGCCTTATTGCCTATCTGGCCCTTGAAGGCTTTTGTGTTTTTTGGTCCAATAACAACAATAACAATGAAAAAAAAAAAAAAAAAAAAAAACACCAAACCTGAAAAATCAATAAAAGAAGACCAGTTCCCTTTAATAATATGGTGAAGGAGTCTATCAAAACACATGGAAAAATAAATGGAATAATATTATGGTCCCCTGACCTGAGATAAGATAATGACTTGTGGACCTGTCATTATTCAGAGTCTCGCTAGGATTAAAACTTGTTATAACACTTATATACTTGTGAAAATCTTATAAGGAAAACCTTTATATTTTAGTTCACTGTTTTTAAATTTTATTTTTTTTAATTTATTCTGATTAGTTATACATAACAGCAGAATGCATTTTGACACACTGTACATAAATGGAGCACAGCTTCTTATTCCTCAGGCTGTACCTGGTACAGAGTCACACTAGTAGGGTAATCATACATGTATATAGGTTAATAATGTCTGTCATTCTACCATCCTTCCCATCCCCCTCTACACTAACCAGTTTTAGTTCACTTATTTTTAGTCAGAATATTAGTTGAATTCAGTAAAACAAGTTTTAAAAAAGAAGATTGATTCAAATAAATTACCGATTAGTGTCCATATGTTTCCTCTATAATAGCTAATACTTAAGGGATGCTTTTGATTAACTCCTCTCACTTCACAAAAACCTTTTGAAGTAAGTATTAATGTTATCTGAATATTACAGAGAAAGAACCTGGAGATTGGTGAGATTAAGAGACACAGTTTGTAATTTGGAAAACCCTCTACAACCCAGGTCTTCCTGTGCCAAATTGCAACTGTTTATATTCTGTACTACCTCTTTTTATTTTATAATCAATAAAATCTGATTTTTAATACTTTTTTAAAAAGTTTTAAACAGACCTTTATTTTATTTATTTTGAGAATGGAACCCAGTGCCTCACACATGCTAGGCAAGTGCTCTACCACTGAAACACAACCCCAGCCGCTCTGTACTACCTGTTTATGTGCAGATAACAACAGATTTAAAAAGGAGAAGAAAGGTAGATTTGCATTGTATCATTGAAATTATTATTTCAGTGATTTACTGAGTTGCACAATATTCAAAAAGACAAAATGCAACTATGCTCATACTTCTACACTTTGCATATTTATACAAATATTATATATTTATACTTGAAAGAATTTCACAAATCTTCTATGAATACCAATTGTTGAAGTATTTGCCTTTTACAAATGGAATGAACAGTTTTAACTTTTAATGAATTTATTTATATCTACTTAAAATGCAACATTTAGGTTTTCTGATTTTCTTTGTCTCTGAATCTCTTTACCAGGGCCAACGTCTTTTTGAAAAACTGCTCCAGCTGACTTCGCAAAATATTGAAATCAAGCTAGTGAGTGATGTGACAGCTGATTCAAAGGTATTAGAAGCCTTGAAATTAAAGGGTAAGGCCAAGGTTGATATGCTACTTTACCACTGGATATTCTGTTTAAAATACCTTAAATTTCACTTAAAATAATATATAATTTCTTTATAATCAGTACACTTCTTATTTCTTCTTTGAAAAATAGCCTGATTAAAGCTTTTAAATGAGGAAACTAATTAATCAATACTACTGGGATTTTTAAATATATTTTTCACATTTCTCTATGCAAAATAATCTACTGGCTATTGAATGATAATTAATTGGTAAGAAGAATCTTTCTTCTCTAAACACTTCAATGATGTAATTAGGAAAAAAGCATCACTTCCCATTAGAACAAACAATCATTTCTGTTTTTCTCTTGCCCATCAAATGAAAATCCTCTTTATGCTACGTATTCTTTAAAATAATAAAGTTAGGTCTAGAAGTCTATAGAACACTGTCTAAATCCGCAGGGGAACGCTACTCACATGACCATTCTGCAATTGGTCTCACCGTCTCATGAAGACTGTATCTTTCTCTGTCACTTCCAAATAGTTTTTAATTATTTGTAAAAGTTTTTATCCAGAATTTACTATCTGAACTGTAAGCCTTTAAAAACGTACTGGCGCATGAGAACTGGTGAACATATCCAAGCCACCAGGTGTCTTTGAGTCTCAGGGGTTTATCTGATGGCCTCATATCCCCTGCTTCTGCTGTTTGAACATTCTGGGCATGTCCACTTGTCTTCCCCACGTCAGGTGAAAATACCTTCTTAAATATGGGACAGATTGGAGTAAGTGGACCAAGTAGCCTGTCCTCCTGCAGAAGGAAAATGTGAAGTGATAAAGAACATTAAATGACACAAAAAGAGGACATAAGCTTGGCCAAGCAAATGAACCTTATGCTAGTCAGCTTTGTGGCATTGTTACAAAACACTTGAGATAGATAATCAATTTAATAAGGTTTAATGAGGCTCATGGTGTGAGAGGCTTCAGTCCATAGTCACTTGACCCTGTTGCTTTGGGCCTGTGGTGGTACAATATCATGGTGTGCCGCAGTCTGGCTGGGCACAATTCAGGAGCCACTTGTCAAAAGAAAACGAACTTTATTTTTAGAACACACACACCAAACCACACAGCTCTTCAGGAAATCTTCAGAGCCCAACTGCCACCACTGGCTTCCCACAAGCCTCTCCACCTCCCCCACTCCTCTTGCTCTTGAGGCCGATTGGCTGGGTTGTGTGGGCGGAGCCAAAAAAAGTCCCCCAATGAGTAGCTCCGTGATCTGAAAGGGCAGGGAAACAGCCCAATGAGCATCACCGCAGAGGTGCCAATCAGTTGGCAGCTAGAAGTTTGCTGGGGCCACTGTGAGCCAATCATCAGCTGGCAGCTGGAATTTTGCTGTGGCCCCTTCAGCTGTGGCTCTCAACATCTCCCCCTCTCTGTTTAAACAACAAGCATGTGGCTTAGGGACTGTGCCTGCCTTAGGTTGTCCAATAGTACATATGGTCCTTACCCGTTAGGTTGGTACCATTGCAATTGGATTGGCCCCTTCAGCTGTGGCTCTCAACAATGGTGGGAACATGTGGTGGAGGAGGCCTATTCATCTCAAGCAGACAGGAAATGACAGAGACAGGAAGAGGTCCAGTGTCCCAATATCCCCTTCAAGGGCATGCCCCCAACGCCCAATTTCCTCCTAATAGGCCCCACCTCTTAAAGATTCCACCACCTCCCCATCGTGCCACAGGCGGGTGATCAAGCCTTTAACAAATGGTCCTTGAGGGGATCCTTGTCCAAATCATATAGTGAACCTGTCATCATTCATAGTATTTGATTCTGTACATAGGAAAACAAAGAAAATGTTATGAGATATTGTTTGGTCTAAAAAGTTTCACTGTGTTACTTGAGAAGCATATTTGTGTGTCAGGAGAGGGACGCTGGGGATTAAATCCATGGATACGTCACCAGTGAGCTACACCACAGCCCTTTTTATTTTTTATTTTTGTGACAGGGTCTCTTTAAGTTACAAAGACTGACCTGGAACTTGTGATCCTCTTGCCTCAGCTTCTGAGTAGCTAGGATTACTAGCTGGGATTATACCCAGCTACAGCAAAAGATTTTTGAAAAACCAGAGAATATCTGGTTCCGTGGATTGACATACAGAGTCATCGTGGCTTAGAAATGCATTATTACTTTTCTCACTTACAGCATACGAAATTGGGTTCCCACAGTCTGAGAATCAACCATCCCCACCTTCTCAGACTGTGGCTTAAAGGTGGGATGGCTTTGAAACACAATTCCCATGAAGTCTTTGAATCAGGGGGGATTTGATTTTACACAAAGATTCCTATAAATTCAGAACAGGTTTTACTAATTGTTTTCTTAATCTCACTTACAAACCACCTCCATCTGCATCCCTCATAAACATATCAAATGCCATATGTTAATTTACCTCACTTGGGGCTTCTCTCACCTCCCAGCAATAGCAGCGATTGTCCCTTTCCCCGAGGTTCTAAATGTCCAGTCGCTCAAATTCCACATTTAAAATATATTTGAATACACACACACACACACAACACACACACACACACACACACATACACGCGATAGATTGTTGCTCCTCAGTCTTTCTCCTAGATATCACCTTTTCTTCTCAACTGCCACTACTCCATTTCAGACCTTTAATAATTTTCTGAGGCTTTGCCCTCCCATCTGATCTCCACACAGCCAGAGATTTTCTGTAACATGATTATTTCCCACTTACAGCCCAACCTAAATTGTATGCATGTGTGAGTGTGCCTCAGTGTTATGCAGAAATTGCTGTTGAAGAAAAACAGACATGAAATAAAGGGCACAGTGGTAAGCAAACCATTCAGTGAAGTTTTACAAAATATAAACATCTGTATGAATCACTGCAAGTATCTCAGAAAGTTATATCACTCATTCCTGTGGTCACTACCCTCTGCAGAGATAACCAGTCTTTCAACTTCTACCTTCACCACTTGTCTTTCTTTCATATTTATATTAATAGGATCACAGAATACATGTTCTTTTATATCTGGGTTATTTTGCTCTATTTCAGGTTTATAAGACCCATACATGTTGCATATAGTAGTATCTTTCTTTTACATTGTTGAATAGTATTCCACAGTATAAATATAATACAATGTATTTATTTTGCAGATGATAGAGATTCAGGGTTTTCCCTATTTTTAATTGTTATATGTAATACTACTATGAGCATTCTTGTAAATATCTTTTTGGCACTCATGTATACAAATTTCTATTGGATATTTACTCAAAAGTAGAATTTCTGACAGCACATAGACTATATGTATGTTAAACTTCGATAGATAATGCCAATACTTTCCAATTGTTGTACCAGTTTATACTAACACAGGCATACTCCATATCCTCACAAAATTTAATAGACTTTTTAATTTTAGCCATTCTGATAAGTACATGTTGTGTTATTACTTTTCAATTTCCTGATGGCTAATGATGTTGAATATCTCATATGCTTATTGACCATTTCAAACTACCTTGATAAGGTGCTCATTCAAGTATTTTGCTCAATATGATTTTATTTTGTTTGTTATTCTCTGTTAGTCCATTCTTACTTATTATTTGTCTAGATTTGAATCCTTTGTTGGATATATGCATCTTCTCCTTTTGATACTATGTATTCACTCTTCTAATTTATACTTTTGATAAGTATAAATCCTTAATTTTAATGAAACTGAATTTAAGTTTTTCTCTGTTATGGATGCTTATTGCATTCTTTGTAAAAGATGTTTGTCATTACAAAGTCCTGAAAATATTTTCACTTGTTCTGTCCTAGTTGTGGTATTATTTTACTGTTCAGATTTAAGTCTATTAGGTTAGGACTTAATTTCTGTATGGTGTGAAGTAGGGGTGCCGGCTAATTTTTATTTATATAAAAGCTATTGATTAAAAAAACTCTTCACTGCATTTCAGAAGCATCTTTGTTAGAAATTAGGTGACTATATGCTTTGGTCTGTTACTGAATTCTCTGTTGTGTTGCATTGGTCTACTTACATAGCCTAGGACAAATGCCACACTGTTTAATTACTGTGGCTTTAAAATGCATGTTGTGGATGATCTAACATTTTTGTCTTTGTTTTTTACGTTTAAAACTTCCTTAGTTATCCTTGACCCTTCAGATTTAAAAATAAATTCAACTATCATTTTGCCACGTAACTGCATAATATTACATTGATTCCAAGGGAGAACTGACATTAACAATATTGACCCTTCAGCTTCATGAATAAGAAAGGCTATAATATTTCCTCTTAGTGGTGCCTTAACTGCATAATTTAGGTTGTTAATATGACATAAATTTCTAAATTATTTTTCAATGCAATAAAGTGGTCTGATTTCTACTGCAATTTCTATTTTGAATCAAGGGCTATTTAGAAATGCAGTCCTTGCTTTTCAAATATGTGGAGGATTACTCTATTTACCTTTTTGCTATTTTCGCTGCAATCAGAATACAGAATTAAGTCACTTGAAAGTTTTGGAAAATTACTTTGTAAAAATTTATTTCTAGAACAAATTACAAATCCTAAGGCTTTTTAATGCTTTCATTCAACTTTTTGTTTTGTTTTTTTTTTTTTTTTTTTGCATTTTGTTAACTCTTAGAGTTGTCTTGGCCAGGGAGGTAGTCTAGAAAGCTCCTTTATCAGAGCTGAATAGTGGAGTAAATGTGCAATGTCTGCTGTTTGCGTCATCCAAAATAAGAGGGAAGATCTTTTTTTTTTTTTTTGGATCCTGCTGCTTCTTTCTTCAAGTGGTATGTGCCGCCTGCTGCCAAAATTTGGCTTCCTGGGTATGATCATGACAATTCTCTTATGTCCTGTTCTCCTGCTAAGGCCTCCCAGCAAATGCTGGTGATGCCTCACTTCTCACCAAACCTGACCCTGGTAATATCACAGCAATATCCTTGAAATTTTATACTACTAATCAATTTTTTATTTTTGATTATATATTTTAGTCAGAACACAATATTATGTCTCAACAA